TTTACCATTTACAAAGATACAAGACGTTGTCAAAAATACTCTAACTATCTGTCTATTTGAATTAAAAATTGATCAAACATTCCATCCCTGTACCTAACGCGTATCGACGCAGCACGTCTGCTCTCGTCAAACGCCAATGCAGCAATGCAGGTGACGGCCGGATTAACTAACGACTTAACTCGATCATCGAGAGATGTACCCACGGATTACATTCTCTACCATCCGTTAGTTAGATCAGTTTTGGAAATGTAGTTACTGAACGATTGTGGGATTTGCGAATAGTGTATCGTGAATTTACTTATATCAAAGAATGTGCAGTAAGTGCCAAAGTTATTGTTGTAAATTGTGAAAAATAAACAGTCTTGTCAATTGTTATCCATGTTAGACTATAAGTTATTTTTTTATTTTTTTTTATTTTAGTAAGTTTTGTAATTTGTATAATGCGTCAACTGTGACTTTGCATTGTTCTCACACATAAACGTACAATATTGGAATATGTATCAGAGACATTGTAGAACATACTTTTTTTTAAAACAGTAACGAATTGAGTTTCTTATTCGTTCTTCTCCATTCGAATCTACTTTTTGGAATGAGCACCTGGCTTTACCTAGCTTAACTGACGGACTGACTGACAGACCTTATTTATTTTGTCTCTGTTGACGTTTCAAAAGTACCAAATTATGGTTTAATTGAAATAAATGCTTTGACTTTGAATTAAGAAAACAAAATATTTCCGAGGACCTACTAGCTAGTAACTTCTGTCACATAAAATGAACACAAACTACGATCATTATACGCTCAAAAGACAAAACCACTTTCACCATATTATCTTAGTCAAATACCTCTACATAAATAAGGGCAATTAAAATCCAAATCCCAGTTCGTTGCATATTTCTCAGTAATTAACCAGAACAGTGTTTAAAAATCCCGCCCACTGGTACTTTTGGCGCCTACCTTGGAAACAAAATAGAAAAACCAGAACGAAGGTGACCAAGGACAATTACTGGCACTTAAGCAAATTAATTGCACCCATTGGCCCAGTGGGTCGGTAATTTAGTAAAACTAATTGGCGTGCACAGTGGGTGAAATTCATGTGAGATTGCAACTCACCCTTTTTGATGTTGTCCTTGGTGATGTTGTTCTGTTTATTTTGTAATTTTTTTCGTTTTTGTTTAAAGCGTTGTTGGTTATGGATAAATAACTAGTAAATATCAGGTTTTCTTACAAAACCAACATAAATAAAAAAAGTATAATACAGTTGTTACTATTATCATTAGTAACTAATGTCAAAGGTAGTAAAAAGCTAGACCAAACCATGGACATAAAGTAGTATATTTTAATACTTCACAAACATAATAGTCATACCTATCCCATAAATAATGTAAATTACTTGTTTTTCGACCGAAAACCGTAAAGGGTGATAATCTGTTTTCACAGTCCCTAACATTACAGGGACGGCTGAATTAGAGTCGCAAACAAATAAACAAACAAACATTATGTATAGGTGTGGATGTATGAATTATAATATTCGTCAACACAATAATTGTTACTTATACATACATAACCGCACACCTGTCCTTTGTTAAAATGTTATCATAATAATTAGAGGTATAATGTTAAGATGTTACACATAGCGCCATCTATGAGCCAAGTGAAACGTGTCTATAATGTCTATTGCCTAAATTGTCTGTGTATGAATGTTTGAACGAATTAAATTAAGTCTTTTCTAAACCGTCAACCGACATCTTTTATTATCCTTTACCCCCACGAGACAGGCGTGAGGTTATGTATAATTATATTATGTAAGTATGTTTTGTTTAAAATTATTTATGTTCTTTCAACCTGATGTTAAGAAAGACAGGTAATAAATTCAAGGCCCAAGTAAATAAGATGCTTATGAGACGACGTGCTCCATCGCAGACAGCACCATCGCTTACCATCAGGTGATATAGTGGTCAAACGTCGGCCCAGCAAACATAAAAAATACAAAGCAAAAAAAGGAGATACATTGGATTAATTTTTATTTTTACATCAGTCAATTTGAAAAATCGTTTAACCACAGACAAATCGTTGTTCAGCAGTAGTTGGGTAGGTACGGGGAAAAGGCTACTATTTTATAAATAGAAAATAATTTACTTTTAGCTCAATCAATAACCATGTAAAAGCTCGGTACGAATATTAGCTTTCTACCTAAGAATCCCTTTTTTTACACACAATTCCCTTAGAATTATACACTATTAATTCCAGTAATGGATTCCTTCCTGTCCACTACATTTTATTAAGAGGAGACATTATACAACCCGGGTATTTATTATCCGGTAGTAAGGGTTTTATGTAGCACTTTGAGAAGTATTACGCAAGATTGTCGTTGTGTGTGTTAAAGTAGATTTATAAGGTCCCTTTTTCTATTTGGTTACACTGTGACCGCAAAGGGATATTTTCGCTTTTTTGTCCAAGAAAAACGAAGATTAGCCCATTGGGGACATTTTCTCGTGTTAGTGATCTGGTATTTAGTACACCAAATTGTGTAGGCTTAGTTACTTACTTTGTTTTCCTACGAATATTTTTAAAATTTACTAATATTATACCTACGACCGTTACGAGTTTGTACACTGAGATCAAATCTCAACTGAGATTACTAACTATTTTATTAACTCTGATGAGTTGGCCAAGAACTCATCACCAAACAGTAATTAACGAAAAGTTTTTATTAGAACCTACCAAAAATCTCTCTATCTTTCCGTGTTTTTCAAAGTCAAAGTCAAAGCATTTATTTCAATTAAACAATAATTAGGTACTTTTGAAACGTCAACAAATACAAAATAAATAATAGCCTGTTAGTCAGTCCGTCAGTGAAGCTAGATGCTCATTCCAAAATGTAGATTCGAATGGAGAAGAACGAGCAAGAAACTCCATTCGTTACTCTTTTTTAAAAAGTATGTTCTACAATGTCTCTGATACATATTATACCAAAGATATTTTAAAACACGGTAGAAACATCCAGTATTCACTTTTAACACACATTTTATACAAAATTGCACTTGGTGTAAGAATATACTACATAATGATCTATTAGCCGTAATGCTGTATATGAGGGAATATCATACCGAAAATGTCAGAATTCTGAAAAATAACATTATCACAATTAACTTGACAACAACTCATTATCAAAAAGAACGATGGCCGACGAAAACAATTAACAAATGGTTTCCTCTACTATTAATCAAGATTGTGTTTCTGTCAGAGATTATGTTTGAAGTAGGTACTAAAACAAAAGCCGGCTTATAGCCGGTCGCGGCGACGTCGCGCAGCTCACGCTGCTCATGAGGAAGAACCCCTCTGTGGTTCGAAACTAGTAGAGCTTTTCTCAGTATATTCACGTGAGTAACCCGCGTTTTTACTTAATTTAGTATGTCTCACGACAGTTATTATAAAAACAATTTTCCTTTACTTGTCCAGATAACGTTTTTATGGAGTTCCAAGATTTTGTAGGTGTATTAAATTGGCTAATGTTTTAATTTAGTTTATGTCAGAGGTAGTTTGTCGGGATTAAGGTTCTACGAGATTAAATAATCAAAGTACCACTAAACATGTTTTATAGGACTACTCATATCTCCCGTTAAGTTTGTGTAATAATATGGAAGAAAATGCCACTGAAAATAGTAATAAAACCGAAGCCAAATGTTTATTTTTACTTTAAACAATTTTTCCAACACTAGTTCTTTAAAATCCGGTCTCATCTGGTATCAGAGAGCACTCTGATCAGTTATAATCCTAAACTAAATCACACCAAATCTTTGCACTATATTCCATAATCAAAGCACACACGACTGAACTTCGACTATAGAAGCTAATCAGACTGGTATTGAGTAATAGCCATCCGGTTAAGGACTGTCCACATGCGAGAAGATGGCGCCATGCCAACCGCCAATTAGATCGCTTGATAAACAACAATATGTACTTGAGTGAATAGGTAGTTAAATTGTACTATTACCAGTATGCAGTCAGGATTTAACAAAAGAGAATTTCCGTTAATTTTCTTGGCTTGATTGTTGTGAAATTAAATTAAAGTTGCCAAGATATTTTCAGTACGAAAGAAACAGTTTTCATTTCAGAACAATTTACCAAAGTATAGGATAACAATAACTAATTTGCTACAATGATTTGTTGTTAAATGAATTTATAAACGTTTTAAACAAGTCGAATAACTTTTGATCTGTAATCATAATTATATGGGAAGCAAAATACTTGTACAAAATCATGATCCAATTAATCAAGCTCTACGAAATAATAGTTCGTACATGCTAGTTAGCTATTAACGTTCAGGAACCTGAAAGCTGCGGTCAGTAATACATTGATTGTGAAGTGAGCCACGTTCAGTGTACGTCGGTGTTAGGGGCAAACGTTTACTGATCATTAGGATAGACAGACTCAAGCTTAAGTGATTTCAAAACCACAATCCTACCAATAATCAGCTTAATTATATTGTTCAAGTACATAAATTAGTCATCTACATATCTACATGATGATTAACAGACTTTATAGTTGCATTGAAAAAGATGATTGAAAAAGAGTAACCTATGGAGTTTCTTGCTCGTTCTTCTCCATAGGAATCTACACCTTGGAATGAGCAAATAGCTTCACTTTTAATATTTTTTTGAAGTTCAAAAGTGCCATTCTGGCCTAATTGAAATAAATGATTTTGACTTTGACATAGAGCCAAATCTACGTGTGTGTCGTGGCGTAATAAATGGTTTTCTTTCCTTTTTTCTTTCTTTCTAAATGTTTGACTGGGTTAATTCAATGAGGTCCTGCGGTTTTCCAAAACTGTCACAAGTGTCATTATCACGTGCGCTTTATTTGCTTTTTTGGCTACAAATCAATAGTTTGCTTAATTATTTTTATATTTGAACTACGTAAGAATTACATAGTAGTAGTAGTAGTAATTTTAACTATTCTAGGCTTAAATTGTTATAAAGAACTATTTAGTATTAACTAACCTGTGCTGGTGTCTTGACGTAGTATTCTGTATCGTTGATGATGAGTCGGAAGTCGCTCTCCAATAAAGCCTCGATGGTGTCGCTCGCAGCGATGCGTACGCGCTCGTCCGCCGCCAGCGCAGCCGCGCGCTCTACTCCACGGTCCTCAGCCTTCACCTGGAGTTAGATAATTCTTTAAAGACGTGGACTCTATAGATGAAGTAACAAATAAGTATTTAATCATAATTCTGTTATAAGATGGAAGCCTTTATTCGGATAAAATTGACAAAACTAAATCACGAACTTTGTCCAGTTATCGGCGAAAAGTTAAATAACGCTTATAGTTCCTCTGTCAACCGCTTATAAAAATAAAAAGCCTAACATTAAATAAATTATTACATTACAAATAAAAATAAATAAATATTCAATAAAATGACTGCCTCGTTGGCCGAGTGGGCGCAAGTGCGATTGCTGGTCAAGAGGTATCGGGTTCGGTTCCTGGGTCGGGCGAAGTATTACTGGGTTTTTAAAAATCTCAGTAGTAGCACGGAGTCTGGAATTGTGCCCGGTATATTGCAACAGGCTCACCCCCTATTACATGGGACTCATAACATAAATAGTGAAAAGTGGGTGTTACATTGTACAGTGGCATTTAGTGCCGTAATGTGCACCTCTGCCTACCCCTTCGGGGATGAAAGGCGGGATGTTATGTTTAAATAAATTAAGTACTGTAATACACTTACACTAATCATAGTTCTCGTAAACACCCTTACTAGGCGTATTACATAGAAAGTTTATACGTCTAACATAGCGATATCCAAATAGCGCCACTTGAGTAGGCGAGTGAGCCAATTATGTCAAGAGTGAGTTTAGCACTTACGGGTCTGCGAAGTCAACATCAACTCAGAAGGTATTTATAGGAATCCTATAGGCATGCATAGCACGTACAATATTATGTATTCGATAATGAGTATTTCGAGGAGGTGGTAGCCCGGAGGTTAAGGGGTTCGAAACCTACCATCGGCAAGTACCAATGTGACTTTTTCGAGTTATGTGTACTTTGTAAGATTATTTAGACACCACTGACACATGGCGAAGGAAAACATCGTAGAGGTAAGTAAACCTTGCCTTATAATTCTAATTATAAGTTTGAATTCGCCAATACGCGTTGAGCAATCGTGGTAATTAATACTCAAACCTTCTCCGTATGAGAAGAGGCTTTGCTCAGCAGTAGGCATAGTGATAGTCATAGTGATAGCAAAACCAGATAAGTGCATGCGACCTTGCACCTTAAGTAATGGGATAATCTAAATTACACATTGTTTGCGTTTTTTTTTGTTTTTGTTGTTACACACTGTGTCATATGCCGTATTCATTTCTCCTCTCGCAGGGCTGCAGGAAGAATACCCATAAGGGATATGCAGTACCTATGTACCTTTATCTTGTTATATTTTTTCCTGTGTATTGAGTGTGTTGTGTACATAAACTAATAAATAAATAAATAAAAGTTCTTTAAATAAAACGTAATTTTCTAATACCAAGAATCCAGAAATAATCCAATATTGTTATCAGCAGTCTCGTTAGTAACTCAATCAATAATTACAAAAATAATATGATGAGTGGGAACTGCATTGTGGTTGGAACGTAGCCAACTACTAAAGCAATCATTTCGCGATATTTCCGTCATAAATTAATCATAGCTGTAAAGGTGGACTAGCCATTGTGGCTGTCCACCTGTTGAGGGTTGAGAATAAATTGACTAACAAGGGAATGAAGCAGTTTAGTAATGAAAATCTATTATTTAACAGTAATACTTTAAATTTTTCGGCGTCGTCTTGTAAAATATTATACAATTTTCGTATTACTTATATTACTTAGACGTGTAGATTCAGAGTTAAGGTCATGTACATTCTAGATTGGTCAGTGTGAGTGTGGCAGACACAATGGAACGCTAATTGCTACAATTCTTACATATACCTCTTTCGCTTCGTCAACAGTCATGAGTCTAATCATGTATGCCTGTCGTTTAACAATATTTTTAATTTGGCCATTCTTTAGTAATCAACAGTCAATAAAACTTTTTTTCCTAACAAACAAGCTCTAAACAATTTCCTACGATCCACGAAAAACAACCCAAGTATCTCCTCCATTCAAAACTAAACTCTACTACCAAACCAAAAGATAGAATTTCCAATTCAACAAAGTGAGCTCACCTGTTCTAATAGATCGCCGACAGTTTGCGAGACGGGACGGAGTGTGAAGCGGCATCGCTCGCGCCGCGACGGCAGCGGTATGGTGAGTACCGGCAAACCGCGCCGGTACGTTACTGTCACCTCTGTAACAATAGAAGGCGGGTTTAAGATAAAGTTTACAGTAAACTAAAGCATAAATGTAAGATCTTAGAAGCCAAGTTTCGATGCTAAGTTCCGTTATCGATAAAAAGATGATTTTTCTATGTAGCGTCATTTAGACAAATAACAGGTGCAATATGCTACTAGGTTTGACGTCAACTGTCTCATAATAATAGTCAAATTAAAAGCCCTCGCGATACAAACTAAACCTAATTCATCGCTGCGTCACAAGTGTCTACTGAAATAATAATATTTCTACATTCAAAGTATGTACTGTCAATGTTTTAGACATTCTTCAAAATCATCAATATATAGAACACAAAGCTATCTTTCATAGGAATGGTCCTATGACTATAGTCTCAACCAAACACAATATGCCACCCATTCCCAGATTCTTTTCAAAAATTCCATCCAAAGGTTGTCTAGAAAAAATCGCCGCGTGTGATAAGACCGACGTTGTACTCAAATTACTATTACAATATAATATACATTTTTTCTCTGTGTGCAATAAAGTATAAATAAATCAATATTTACTACACCTAGAAATTACCCATTTTTTACAAAAACACTACGTTGATTTATGATCACCAAAGGAATTAGTTTTATTTTTATAATATCTTGATTGAATTTAGTTACATACAAGCCGCAGGTCAGTCTCACTACTACAAAACTAGAGCAGTCACACTGAATAGTCTTTCACAACTTCAATGCTGTTCAAACATCTTCAGGTCAGCCGGGGTATGAAGCACCCTCAGGCTTATTGCTGCCTTTGTCTGCCAGCTCCTTCACTTCTCGTAAGTGTGAAGTGAATGGCGACCGAGAAGACTCTTTAAATTTACTTCTTAAGTCTAAGGAGTGCGGTTGAAGTTCCATTAGCAAGGAGTGCCATCAATTTAACGATTGAGGAATAAAGTATTTGGATTTTTTATGAAGAGTTCTTGAAAAGGGTGACTGAAAAAATGTTAAAGATACTTGAAAAGCCGATGATAAATAAGTACGTGATATAAGAAACGAAACAAAAGGTAAGTAAAATATACGTTTTGTAGAGGTAATTTTTGTCATTGTTCTTACTCTAGTTAGTGATCATAGAGATCTAGATAGTGATGTCTAGAGAAAGAAACTACGACAAGTGGATGTACAAAAAAGGAAAAACAGAACCAATGAGACACAAAGCACAAAAAAGAACAGTTAAGTTTGAGAAATGAGACTCCCTAGTCGAATTGGCGGGAATATTGGCAACTACCATCTGTTACTGGATTTAGATCCACTTAACCTGTAACCCTGTATAACTCATCAAAGTCAATGGTTGCTGTCATTATTTTTTGTGTTTGGGGCTATCAAATAAGACTATTCAAAAATACAATAAGGTTCTGAAACCACACTTACAACGACACAATCTCTTCATTGTCAGCAATATTTAAAACAATATGCAAATAAGGTTAAACGAAGGTCTCTATTGTAAAACCTAAATAGGATGAAAAACTGAATTAAAGGGGGTGCCGAACTGAAACTCATTTACACTTGAAACGACTGAAAAGCGGAACTTTTGTACTCCAATCGTTCTCGGTTCAGTTTCCCACAAAACCTTGATGCTGAATTGTTCAGTACCGATGGGAGTATACAGGATAAAGCTTTTGAGAAACAAAATGCATTTTCCTTGGTATAGGTACTCGTTTTTCAATATAGTTCTTGCCAACTAGTCAAATTCAATACTTTTTTCGAACTGACGACAGTTTTCTATGAATTTTGTACGAGATTGCGAATTGTGACGTCACGTTCTTTAAGCGTCAAACAGCGTACTTATTATGTCTTAAAAGTTTGCTGGAAAAATACTAAAATTAAGTTGGTCATAAAATGAATTAAAAAAAGTATGATTATTTTTTAATATTTTATATTAAAAGTAGAGTTGTAAGCATAAAATACTGTATTGAGCAGAGGTTGGTAATAAAATCCCTAAAATAATTATCTGTTGTAACCATGACACCTGATTTTCCATATTGGCAGATGTAAAGATGGTTTATATCGTAAGTGTCACCTTGACTAGTCTAGTAGTAGGTCTAGAGTAAAACTACAGAATTACAAGTAACTTCTAAACAGTTACTGTAATTGGGCTTTCTGCCGTTGTGAGTGGTTGTCTTCTTCGAAACGAGACCGCGTTCGGCGCTCTGATTGGCTGGTTTATTGGAGCCGGCCAATTAGAGCACCGAACGCGGTCTCGTTTCTTTACCGTAAACGTTAAACAAACTCGTACTAAGGCCTCAGATAACAAGATCGAAAAGGCAAGTTATACGAGTATAGGTACTAGAGAAATATTCAACATCAATTAGAATTTTCTAAGATATTATAATGACAACGTGTGTCTATGTATCACAGGAAAAATCAAATTTACGACTTACGAACAATTTTTTCTTAGAACAGTCTTGTCATAACACTACTGATATGGTGCGGAGTGGTCTAAAGTAAATTGTTTCATTATACGCAGACGGACACAACCTGATTGTCTGCACGCTCCACTTACCAAGTACAATCATCTACGAAAGTGTTTACTTAGTCTCTGAATTAATTTACAATCAATATGTTTACGAATAATATTTTATTTTGTAATAGAAAAACTACATAATCAAAAAATTAATTTAAAATAATAATTTGTAAATTTTACAATTTATGCATTAATTCTGTCTAATAAACTTTATAACAAAAGACGTTGCCCTGTCTTGTGACCAGACCTTTTAAGCAAATAAGCTACAGGAACAACAATTAATTATTTCGCCTTTCACCACACAATGAGAATTGCCAATTGCCATCCCTAAGCCACGGAACCAACTGTTGCGTGACGTCAGAGTTTAATATTTATGAAATATTAACATTTTAGTCTGTCTCCGAACTCCGACGACACGGCTCAGGTGTATTCATAACCTAACAACGAAAACGAAATCTGTTTTAAAGTTATGATTTATTAATAAAATAAAGTAATAAATTTTCTTAAACGCAACTCATAAAACATATGCTGTCTCTTTCTATCAACCTGCCAAAACAATTGGTGAATTTGTTTTAACAGTTTTGCACGCAACCGTACAAAATACTTTGTTTAACTTTCAAGTAGATTAATCGTTAGAAAGAGACGTATAATACTTGTGGGTTAAGTTGCGAGCGACAGCGGAATACTGAAGTTTTAAGAAGTAATTATAATATTTCCATCGAGAACATTTTACGTGAGCGCATAATTTTGTGAAATTAATTTTTAAAGTGAATCATCTGCTAATTTTCGGAGCGTGGAGTTAAGAATATTTAGAAATGGAGTTCTGATCTTATATGAGCGAATTTGTAATTTAAATGGAGGCTGATATTTGAAAATACATTTTCTGGTGACATTAAACTTCAGTCCGCAATATTACACGACTTTTAACAGATTCATTTATCCAAAGAAGGCAGCATTTTATGTAATACCTCTTTTCTGCGGTTGCTTACGCGTGTTCTGTTCTTAAGTGTTTGATGTGACTTCAACCTACAGCTTCAAAGGAGAAACTTTAAAGAAAATACCTATTATAATTAATAACAACTTTTTAAAAATATCACATAATGTTCGTGACAACCATAATAACTATGGAGACATGAAACCATGGTAACTAAATACAATGTACCCATATATATAGGAGTGACAAGTACCATTAATAAGTTATTAACTCGCCACAGGTGGTCGGTATGCGACGCACTCCAGTTCACTTTGCTGAATATCGTTTTAATATCTCGAACGGCATGACACATTAACAATGCACCTGTACCATAGGAGGGAAGATGTATAGTCCTCTCATTTTCCACCAATAGGGTAGATGCCTTATTTTTATTTTAATGTCCGTCTGGTAGATTATTTTAAATCATTAGACAAGTGTTTTTTATTTTCTTACAGAAACGAATACTTTCGACGATATGTTTTGAAATGTCGCGTGACGTCACTTCTATGTACATTTTATACGTAGAAATAACGTTTTAGCCCCTACTCCTAAACTTTGATTCGTTTTATCTAAGTACTGTTTTATTATACGACAAAATAAAAAAAATACGTGTCTATTATATATATATATTATATAGTATGTTTTCATTACCTAACTTACGGACTAAATAGATTTTTAATTTTCATACCCCGTCATCATCCCAATTGGCTGATAAAAGCTACTTTTGGTGTTCTAGTATAACAATAAGAATAGATAATACTAAACAACCTATGTCAGTACCACCCATGGACGCCCACAACACTAAAGGAGTTACCAGTATTTTGTCAGCCATCTTAAGCATCCCAGTAATTTTAAATGAACTAAAAGTATACTAGAGGTATATAAAGGCGGTATTGTATATTAAATCAATGTAATGTATGTACAAATTGCACACAGATTGAATACATAAATTAAATTAAGACATTGCAAATTACGGCACCGGATTTACGGATTACCATACGCCGCGGAGATCGTAATTGCAATTAAGATTAGTTAATTACGTTATTATAGACTGTGTATATACCAAACAGATGTAAATACTTTGTATATGAGAAAGTAGGGAGAGATTTTACAGTTTCAAATCTTTTACATCAAGAACGTCAGTTTATTTCTGAGGTATTCCACAAAACGCACCTGTTTTAAAACGCACCTGATGAAACGCACCTATTTTATTCCACGAAACGCACCCATGTTTAAAATTAAGGAAGAGAATTAAGTAAACATAATAAAATATATCGATAATAATTTAAAGAAATCATTTGTACATCGATATCATCGAAGTTGCTTAACCAAAAGTGAGAAATTGACAGAAAAATATCTTTTTACTTTTGGCACTATAATGTGTACCTATTCAGAGACGAATGTTATTTTGGGTTCAAAGAGGAAGTTAATATGATGTTAATAATAAATAAAACGCACAGGTATAATAGAAATGATATGCGTGTAATAATCACATTGTTGCAGAAATACATAGTCATAATAAATGTTGCATC